TTAATTCTCTGTGATAACACATACAACTCCTAGTCCTGGGACTCATTCACTGAGTGTTTGACTGGAGAAGTGAAATCCGCTTTGTTGCAAAGCAACACGTTTCACTGAGGCAAAAATTCCATTTCTGTTAAATTGCTTTCCAATTTTCAGGATAATGATGTGTTTAATTTACCACAAAACATGGTAAACTGCTTGCAGGATGAGTCTTGATTTGTCATTTAGATTCATTTTATTTAATTTTAATACTTTTTTTTTTCATTTTAGTGAAATGTATCTGTGGAGTTTTTTGCTTAAGTTTATTGTTAGTTTTCTAGCATGTGATTTTGATATTTTAATGCTGGCAAAAACTTCTGAGTTCCTGGTTTCTGAAAGGAATGATGGTTTTACTATCTGCTGTGCTAAGCATGGTGCAGACAGGACCTAGAAACCATTAAGGCTTCAAACAATATGTGGATGGCGTGCTGGACACATTCTCCTATTTCTAATTTTTGCTGTGAGCCAAGCAGCACCACGCAGCCGAGATAATTTCCAATAGCATCATCTTTTCCTGAGCTTTCTTGAAACACCTAAATGGCTTTGCAAGTTTCCTTTCATGGCTTTTTCTTGCTGCTCCAGTGCACTAAGTGCTCTGATCACTCCCCAGTCACCCAGATGTGGTGTGGAGAGCTGAACATGTACCAGAGCAGACGCTGCCACGTATTTTGGGGAGCCCCAGGGAGCCCAAAGAGGTCACCTTCCCCATTCCTCAGAACAAGGGACAAGCTCATGGGGCATGGTGCTCTCTTCTTCCAAGGCTGCATGGGTAGACCAAGGCAGTAGTGAAAACAGTCTTTAGGTGCATCCCTTGTGGGTGACCTGCTGTCTTTGAAGCATCAGCACAAGTGAGGGCAATAAGTGGCTTATGATGAGTTCATCCATCATAAGAATTGACCTCTCTTTGCTGGTTATGCAGCATTTGAAAAGCAAAGATTGCCAGGTTAAATGGTATTTCTCCCCACCATCACCTTCCTGTATTCTGTTCCCTTTCTTCTGTTTGAATTACTGTACAGAGCCAACATATTTCATCCCACCTCTCCTTGACAGGGAGAGGAAAAAATTGAGAGTGCTTGTTACAACTTTTAAAGTAAAAAGTTACAAATGTCATCATATTTTTTGGTGGTGATCAGCCTCAAGCGAGCATGGATGAATGGAGCAGAAAACCTGTTTGTAGCTCTTTGCCAGTGCCAGTCCCATCCTGCTGTGACAAGAGCCATCCTGCCCCATGCTGCTGCCTGCCTGCCCCACATTCCCCAGGGCTGTTTTTATGTCACTTCCCCAGTGTCCCGTGCAGAGAGGGGAGCACAGCCCAGTGCTGGCCCAGCCCAAGGTGGCCTCTCATAACCTCTCTCTCTGTAACTCATCCTCCACCACAGGCTCTCAAGATCTGCTCCTTCTCTTCATCCCCAGACGCATGTTTACTTGCAGATGTAAGCAAAAAGCTGAAATTTTTGGAAGAGCATTCGTGGGAAGCAGTTTTCCCCCTGAACTCAGCGTTGCTATTTTGACACCATCCCAGGTTAATCTCTATTTCAACAATGACGTGTGTGGACGTTTGTGGGACTGTCTGCTTAGTGTATATGTACAGCTGCCACCTAGGAAATAAACTGTGCAGTTCATAGAAACAGACCTCAGCCCACAGAGATGGGAAACCCACAACTATAATCCCAATTCTATATGAATGGCACCATCTTATAAAATTTAAAGATGTGATACTCGCTGAACGGGAACAGACAATTCAGTCTCTCCTGTTTAGTTCACATAGTCAATTTTATGTCCTTTCATTATTCGTCATTTGGTTGCTTCACTCCTCCATCCTTCTAGAAAACTCTTTTTCCAACTTGGATATTCTAAGACTCTGTGAGATGTAGTATTTTGGGATTTGGAAAAAAAACTTATTAGTTGTCTAACACTAGAGAAATGCTCTAGATGAGGAGCGTCTGACAAAGAAATACTGGCTGCTTCTGCCGAAAAATCATAGAAATTTTTAATGCAAGTTCACTAAGGGAAAAGTGTATGTTTCTTTGTGGCTTTAGCCCTCAGGGCTGTTTTTAAAAGTACTCAGAGGCTTGTGTGGCTGTGTACAGCAATTTTAGATAGGTTGTAACATGGCTGGTTTATTAAGAATGGTTTGGGGTCATCTTGTGTGCTTGGCTAATATTGCCGAACTTACACTAAATTTACTGCAGTTATTTATGCAAAATATTGAAATAGGGGTGATGCTCTACCATAATAAGAATTAAGTGACTTGGGGAAGATTTGCTATTGAAACAAAACTAAGAAGTCTGGGAACTCAGCCTGACTGTGGAAACTTCTTCTCTCACCACAAATATGACATGTACATTTTATGAAACCTGCTTATTACCAAGGGCCAAATTCTGTGGTCCTTATGCAAGCACAGCTTTCACTGGAAGTTCACTGAGGACGGTAGAATTTGGCCCTGAGCTATTTCTTTTCCATATGAAATTACTTCATTTGTAATTTCCTCTTCTTATATTTCTCAGTAACTGCAGAAATGTGAGCTAGTCATTTAATTTCGACTGAGTAAAAGCTTTGAGGACTCTCTGTGAAATTGCAACTTTGTCTTTTGGTGTAATAGAATAAAGGATTAATTTGGTGGACGTGATATTTTACTTAGAGGGGAAAAAAACCCCATATCTGGGTAACTACACAGACAGGAAACCAATGTAAATATGTGAGTTTTTCCATCCAAGTAAGATGAGAAAGGTTTGGGGTTTAGAACCGAGGACCAGTGACTTGGGATGCTACAAACAGCTGAATTAAAATGGGACTTCTGGGATGTGTGATTTTTCTGGCCTTGGCTTTGTCTTAGCAAATACATTTGAAACAGCGAGTTTCAGGTTTTAGCTGTGAGTTAGCTTTCTTTTCCGGGCTGAATTGCATTACTGATGCTCTTTGAATGTGACTTACCCAAGATTAATTTCTGAATTATATATAAATTGTTTAATCAGCTGCGAAACTTTACAACTTTCAACCTTTCATTTCATTAGCTGCGAGATGAATGTCAATAAAATGCGTTTGGAAGGCCAGAGCTTGATGACACATGCAGCAAACGCCGCTGAGGACTCTCTTTCCTTTAATGCAGTAATAATAAACACTTCACAGGCAATATTTCAGCAATCAAGAGCACTTTTGCAGGCTTTTCTATCTATATGTGTTTGGCTAAATGACAAAATCGTTAGTTAAAAAAAAAAAAGGCTAAAAAATGAGTCAGACTTATTGCCTTAATGCAACCTTCCTGGCTGAAAGCATATTAATTGGCAGAGTGAATTACCTCAGAGCAGAGCAGAGAAAGGCCTCTATTGTGTGATGTGAAATCTACACTCCTTGGCTTGCACGTTCTTTCCTCGGCCTTGTGATCCTTCCCCTCTGATCAGCAGCCTCCAAGCCCAGCCTTGTGACATTTATAACACCTTTCAATTGGAAGCTCTGTCATTCGGCCGTTTGGGCACTAAACCACGTTGCTGCCAAGCATTTTGTGGTGAAAAACCCTCCTGCCCGTGCTGAGGCTGCTCCCAGCTTCTTCCCGCCTCGCTTCCTCATCCTTCAAGGGTTAACATGTGGGAAAATGGGTTGCTATTTTCCCTTTTATGTAAGAACTGTGTGTTTGGAGCCCTTGCCAGGAGCAGAGAGGCCCGAGAGCAGAGCCAGCCTCCTTGCCAGCCCCGGGGCTGAGCTGCAGCAGTAACCATGGGTAGCAGTGGCCCAGTCCTTGGCCGGGCTGGAAGGACTGGGGCGGTCACGCGGGGCTGCCTGTGTTCCATCAAGTGACAGCTCCGTGTAATGTGCCTGCCTTGCAGCAAGGACTGCACCAATCTCCAGCCCAAAGCCTTTCAGTATCCTCGCTTTATCCCACTCCAGCAAATGCTGAATTGGTGTTTCTGAGATGGAAGGGGAAAGCAATGCAATCTTGGGTAAAAGAGGCATGGTCGTCATCTGTCTTTTGAGTAAAAGCGGCCATAACTGAAGTGTTTCATGCTCTGCTATCACTTTTTCCTTCTCCTTCCTAAGTACTCAAAGAAAGAAATGATGCCTTTCCTCCAGGGGAAGAATTGGGTTAGCAGGAGATGTCTTGCTGATTCTTGGCTTAAAAGAAGTGTAATGAATGGACTGACAAACTAACATGAACTTGTAAAAGTCTTCATTGTCTTTTTTTGGATTTGACAAAGGAAAAGCTGAAGAGGACAAACACTGAGAGATTGCACATGAATAAACATGCTATTTCATGCTCCTTGGTGCTCATCAGAGTTAAGTTTAGAATAGCAAGGAGGATGAAAGCCCTGGGTTAAATAAGTTCAGCCTGATTTCCCATAAGCCAGTATCCCATTGGAGCGAGCATTATTTGCTGCTATAGATGGTTGCTTCTGTGGAGAGAATGAGTCTCAACAGGGCTGGAGACTCACTGCAGCCTTCTCACCCGCTCCCAGAAGGTCTCCCCAGGTCAGGGTGCGACCGGCAGTGGAAAAGCCACGCGGAAAGCTGGGTTTGCCACTGTTTCCACTCCATTTGTTCTGTGGGTGAATAAATTGAGGGCTGGAGTCTTCACGTCTGTCAGCATGCCACCTTCGAAGGTCTTCTTGCAGAGGAATGGGAAAGTCAACCACATCTTCAAATTAGTCCTAATAGTTACAGGAAGGCTTTCTGAGCAGTTCCAAGACCATCTTTTTCCACTGAGCTTGTATTACAAAATATTTCTGGAATTAGATGGAGCAAGAAAAATAATAACTTTTTTATTTTTTTGTGTCTTTCACAACTTGTACTTTATGTCGAGATGACTTTGAAACAGACCTGACCCTGTTGTCTGTGTTGAGCTGGCTTCCTTGCTCTGTGAGCTGTGACATGCTCAAGCGCTCCGCTCCAAATCGGGGCTGGCAGGGCTCCGATCAGCATGCTGGTGTTTGTAACCTCTAGCACTTTGTACCCCCCCTCCCCCTTCCCCACAGGATCTCCTGCCCTCACTGGCACTGGAACCATCGCTGTCACAGTGGATGATGTCAATGACAACGTCCCCACGTTTGCCTTTAATACGTATTTTGCCACTGTTCCGGAGGATGCTCCCACGGGGACAGATATTTTGCTGGTAAACTCCTCAGATGCCGATGCTTCTACAAATGCTGTTATTAGGTAGGTCGATTACTGTTGCTCCATGTACCACTGCCTCATATCCTGCCTGAAGATTTCTTTTTCCCCGGTGTTCATCACCAGCATGCCTTAAAGCTGTAAGACAAAAAACAGAACAGCTTTGTGTGTGTAACTAAATTACTTGGGCAAATCTGTCTTTTTGTTGCTTGTAGGCTTTTAGAGTTATATTGAGGACAAATAGAGTTGTGGAGTTATTTTTTTACTGAGTGAAAAGCAAGATAGTTTAATTTGCAGCTGCACCCACTACCTGCCTTGCTGCTGCATTTCTACCTTTTCATGCAGTGAGGAATTTTCACTGAAAGCAAATGTGCCCCTTGAGTAAAGCTTTGGTCAGTTAATGCCTTCAGTGTAGCATGAAAATTACCCAAGGTAAATCACAAAGCTTATGCCATTCAGAAAACCAGTAAAAAGTTGGAATTTGGCAGTTCTGCGCAGGGCTCAGTTGATAAAACTTAACTGGGCTCTGTTCTGCACACTGGCCATTCCCAGTTCCACAGACAAGAGTAACGAAGATGCTGAGTGGCAGTGACAAGCTCAAGTTATCCACTGAGGACAGATACATTGCCAAAGGAATGCAAAGCAAATTAATATTAGTTCTTAATCTTACCACGTTTTACTTTTGTGGCTGCAAACATCGCTGTTTCCAAATTCACAAAACAGGATATAAAAGTAGCTTCCTTGTTTACCTTTGTTAGTTCACCTCAGTTCCTTTTTCAAAGAGCATAAGAATACCACTGTGTCACTTTTTTTAAAAGGAAGTAATATAAAACAGAACTATGTTGTGGCAAAACGCTGTCTACAAAATACTGAAATATTTTCTTTCCAACTAGCTACAAGCCAGAAATAGAAGCTTGACATCTAGACATCTTTAGATATTTGAAAATCATCCAAAATTACCATTTATTAAATTGTGAAACAATCAAGCTTTTAATTCTGTTCACTCATAGTCTAAGAAACTATTTCTGGCAAGCTCCTTTATAAAAAAAAGAATTCCATGCAGAGCATGAATGACTGTAACGATTATGTCCCATAATCAGAAATTATCAGAGTGCTCTTGGGTTTCTTTAGTGTGGTTAAATTGCTTTAATATCTCTGCCATTAGTCTTTGTCATTCACTCAGTACCTCATCATAGAATTAGTTGATAAAAATATTTTTTCCCTTCATAAGTAGCTATTAAAACATTGTTTTCAGATTTTGCTTTATACTCTTCAGGCTCAGGAACAGACTTTGTTTTTCTTGGACAGAATTTGTCCAGATTCAGCATTTAAAGTGGATCTTAAAGTATGGCTGGTATTACAAAAGTGGTGAAAGCCAGAAAGAGCAGAACATGTATGGCTGTCGTGTCAGAGGTGCTGAGCACTCAGAACTCCTTTTCTGTCTTGTTAGAATCAGTTCAAAATTAAACCTTTGCTTTCCAATAGGGGTATTTAAAATTCTTGGCTAACATTTTCATGCAAAGTCAAAAAACGTGCTGTGTTTTGAAAGAAGTGTTTAAGTTTCTGCGAAGCTGTCACCTGTCCATACGTGCCAACTCTTGCTCTCCTGTTTCTGGTGATAACCTGTGAAGTCATTAAAGGAGGGTGATGGGTTGTAAATGGCAGTGTACACTTGAGCAGTCCTGTTAAAGACAGTAGACATAAGAGTCAAAAGGCCCCATTTTAAGTGTTTGGATCAAATTCCTTTTATGCCACTTGCCACTATTAGAATTTCAAGGGGTTTTTGGTTTTGCTTAGTTTTTTGGGGGTTGAGTTTGGATTTTTTTGCAGTTCTGTTGAGACACGTACACTGTCCAGTTGGTTTGCATGCAGGTACAATTCAGAATATGGTATGATAAATCTAATATGTCTTTATTATTTCCTTAAAAAAAAAAATATCATGCTATCTTTCCAGTGCTAGCTTGTGGAAACACAGAAAAGAAAGTTTCTCTCTCTGCAGTACCCCACTCAGGGTTAAATCACTGCAAATCACAGATGAAATGTGCCTGGTGCTGCTGTTTAGGGAGATCTAAGTGGTGCTTTAGGCTTTGTGCACATTCTTTCTATTCTAGGTGCACATTGCTGTGGCTGGAGAATAATTGCATATGGCCATCACATTATATCATAATTAAGCAATTAAAGCATGCTCGTGGCGTTCTGCAGAGATTAATGACTGAGCAGGAGAAGTTGCCACAGCTTATTACACAGGCTGGCTCTCAACCTTCTCAGTGCAGATTCTGGGCTGTGTTATTACTGCTGTCATAACCTGTTCTGGTCTTAAAGAGGTGAAGATAGGAATATTAATCTCTTTCATTAAAGCCACTTTATTCTGAGTCTTTCATAGAATCATACCTCAGAAAAGCTGCTGCTGTGCTGTAGCAGAGGAGCAGGGCTGACCATAGCTGTGTTGGTTATGATATTAAATATGAGAATTGTTCATTTGAGCCAGTTTTTGTTTCCATTGTTTTCTCACAAGTCCATTATCTGAATTATTAAAAAAGGTAATATTAACCAAATACCTTTAAAAACGCATCTTTGAGATTCCTGCTGTACGAACACAAGCTGGATAAGCATTCCAAACAGGGGACAAACTCAGTGTGGTAGGAAGGCAGAGGTAGCCCCTACAACACGCCTGCAGTGAGCACACAGTCAGTTCTTATCAGATCATGTGGGGATGTGTGCCCACACAGACACACCCACCAGTCTGAGGGTTAAACTCTGGTCCCAGTTAGTCTCTGTTAACAGAGCTCTGTGGTTACTAATTTGCTATGAATTGCTGTAAATTCACATTGAAATCTTGAATGGCAAAACTAAGTATCAGGAAACAATATGGATATTAAATGTTCATTTTATTTTGTAAAGCTGTCATCGTTTTATTTCAAAAATACTTTTGTATTTTCTAACTATATTCTGCAGGTTCGTTTAAGAGGTACATGAGCCTTTTGGTGTAATAGTTCATGCATTAGCCCAGGGAAATCAGCACTAGAGGATGTCTCCAGTAGGCAGTTTTGAGAGTATGTCCAGTGGTATCTTTCAAATATCCAAAGGCTCAGTCAGCTCGTGTTGGAAATTTGTGTTAAACAGCTATGCTTGGAAATCCCCAGAAATGTGATTATGACAGGCCTTGAAATTTGAAAAAGTCAAACAGTGAGGACAGATGGAGAGTCAGATGAAAATGTGACAGTCTGTGTTGATACCCCTCAGTGTGGTGGTCTGAAGAGTATAGAAAATGGTTATTAATGCAGCAGGCTGCCTTTTGAAATACTAACCCAATTTTTCTCCCTTGCTTCTCCTTTCCAACAGCTACAGGCTTAGGGGCGGCAATTCCCAATTCACCATCAACCCTTCCACGGGCCAGATCATCACCAGCGCTCTCCTGGACCGGGAGGCGAGGCAGAACTACACCCTGGTGGTGGTGGCCAGCGACGGGGGCTTCCCCAGGGCTCTGTCCAGCTCCGCCAGCGTGCTGGTGGCCGTGGCTGACGTGAACGACAACCCGCCCAGGTTCCAGCACCACCCCTACGTCACCCACGTGCCGTCGCCCACCGCTTCAGGTAACCCTGGCACCTCCATAGACAGGGAATCACGGAGTGGCTTGGGATGGAAGGCACCTTAAACGTCATCTAGTAGTAACCCGCTTGTCATGGGCAGGGGCGTCTTCCTCTAAATCAGGTTGCTCCAAGTTCCCACTCAGCCTGGCCTCGAACACTTTCAGGGATTCTGAATGCGGGGATTTCAGGGATTCAGGAATTCACGGCTTCTCTGGGCAACATCTTAATGGAATGCTCAGCTGTGCCATAGAAATGTTTCTGAGGTGTTTCTCTGAAGCTCTTTTCCTGGGATTGTCTTTGTGCTGCATGGGAATGAGGAATAACAAACCTCAAGTTACCATCCACAGTTTAGCAGGTTTTTTCTTTTGGGTTCCTCCCATCCAAATTCAATTATGTTTGTGTAGTTACATAAAGTACATATACTGTAAATGATCACCCACTCAAAAAAGTTATTATTTTGCTAGGGTTAGGAAGACAATGGCCTGTTTTTATTTCTGAAAGTCTCCTCTGAGCAATTCCTAAACAGGATTTTGACAGCCTCTTCCAAAAATGCCGTGTCTATTTAAGATGTTAATTATGTTGCCTTTCCTTGAGCCAAGTGGTGAAGTAAAATAAAATAAAAGTAATCAAGCAGCACTCTTCCTTTGAACCTACACCCAAATTAAAGTTACTTCACTCAACACAGGAGTTAATTTCTGGTTCAGCTCATGTTCCATGTTTTCACATACACACACATACATGGATATGTGATGCCTACGGAGAGGATTCCATGACAAATGGTTTGCAAAACAAATTTTCTTTTAACAGAAAAAAAAGATTTCCATGTCTTGGATTTTGTCTCTTAATTTTAAACAATTGCAAATACTTCTCCTTTTTATGGAAGAATGAATTTGTTTACAATTCTTCTCTCTTTCCAGAACAGCATTATGAAATTGTTTTATTATTGCATTGGTGAAACATCATGTAATCAGACTAGTACCTTTGCCTGGTTGTTTTTGGGATGTTTCTTCAAATTCTTTTCACAAGGGGTACACATAGGTTGAACTGATGTTTTTTGGTAATATCCTTTTGGGTGCTTTTTGTATGAAATTTCTTACAACTAGAAACCTAAGCTATGTTTACTCTGTTTTAAACTTAGCATAAACCTAGGGATGTATCCACTTTTCTTATTTACAACTTCCTTTTCTTTTTGGTATTTTTAATCGAGTTTAAAAAGAGGAACTTGTAATAATATTAATATTTTTTGAATAACTGAAGCACAAAAGAAATCTTCATTTCTTCCTGTCCCATTTCCCACAAGGGTTTGAATACTGTTCTTGTCTAAATATTCCTGCCCCTGGAGTACAAATCACTGCACATGACAAACAGTGACATGAAGTATAGTTTTAAGGGATGCTGTCAAAGTCATTCCTGCCTCTAAATGATTTTCCCTTAAGAGGTTGAAAACAGCATGATTTTTATACAAGACTGGTTGTTTTCTAAATTTTAGTAAGAGTAAAACATCAACAGTGTTCTGCAAATTGGTTGGACAGTGTCAAATTTGAAAGGCATATCACGCTTCAGATCTGTAATATCTGGTGAGGAAGAACACCCTGGGTTCTCCTTGCAAGTGTGCAAATGTAGAGGGTAATACAAATGGTGCGCATACAGTCAAGCATAAATTCAAAAGACCTGAAAAGTCTGAGTGTAATCATGTTATTGTACTAGTGTGCAATAGTTTTGTATTCCTATTTTACCAATGTGTTTTTAAAAATGCAGTCCTCTTAGTTCCTGTCCTTGGAATACTCTTAGAAAATTAGAAGTAAGGGGCTAGAGGGGAGAAAGAAGGAGCACCTGGGGAGCAGGAAGAGAGGGATTGCAAGGGACAGTGGTGTAGGGTAAATATCCATGGATGCTGCCTGTTCACTTATGTAACCTTAATAGTCCTTGAATTCCAGGGTGAAGTTTTTTCGTGGATAAACAGGCTAAGAGTAATTTTAAAAATCAAAATAGCATTCAGTCTTACTGGGTTTATGGTTTTTACTGTGGGAATGTTCTAGAAGCAGGATGCTAGGCCTCCAAAGGCTGCTGGTCTGTTTCCCAGTTTCTGAGATCTGTGTGTCCATCTCTCTAAATGCAGTGTCCTGTTTTTCAACTCAGTGTTTTTTGGCTCCATGCATGTCTTGTGGACTCACAGACCCACCTGCCCCTTGCTGAACTCACTTTTTTGTGACAAAAGCAGTTCATTTTCAGGGCAGTGTGAGGAGGAGCATGCTGCTCCAGGATGTGCTTCAGACTGAAAGGCTGGCATGACGTTTCTCACAGTGACTGACCTAGCTTTGTTCTGCATTTCAGGCTCATTCGTGTTTGCGGTGACTGTCACCGACGCAGATGCCGGCTCCAACGCCGAGCTCCATTATTCCCTTGTGGGGAAGAACTCTGAGAAGTTCCACATTGATCCAGCAAGGGGGGCAATCCTGGCTGCAAAACCACTGGCGGGAGAGTCCGAAGTCACCATTTCTGTTCACGTGAGAGATGGCGGCCGGTACCCCAAGACAGACTCTACCACTGTCACCGTGAGGTTTGTGGACAAAGCCCAATTTCCTCGCGTTCAGGCAGAGCAGGAGACCTTCACGTTCCCTGAAAACCAAGCGGTCGGGACACTTGTCACCACCATCTCTGGGTCTTCAGCCAGAGGAGGCTCCTTGTCCTACTACATTGCCAGTGGTAACGTGGGCAGCACCTTCCTGGTGGACCAGGTGACGGGACAGCTTTCTGTCGGGCGGGCTTTAGATTTCGAGGCCGTGCAGAAGTACGTGGTGTGGATTGAGGCCAGGGACAACGGCTTTCCCCCCTTTTCCTCCTACAAGAAATTAGAAGTATCGGTGATTGACGTCAACGACAATGTGCCGGAGTTTGAGCAAGATCCCTTCATTGCAGAAATAGCAGAGAACCTGTCCCCACGGAAGATACTGACTGTGGCTGCTGTTGACAGGGACAGTGGTCTGAATGGACAGCTCAATTATGAAATAATTGAGGGCAATACTGAAAACAGTTTCAGTATCAATCGAGCCACTGGTGAGATCAGAAGCGTCCGGCCCTTGGACAGGGAGAAACTGTCTCAGTACACGCTAACCATAAAAGCTTCAGATAAAGGCACTCCGCTCCAGAGCACGACTGTCAAAGTTATCATTAATATTTTAGATGAAAATGACAATGCTCCGAGGTTTTCACAGATTTTCAGTGCTTCTGTGCCTGAAAATGCTCCTCTGGGTTTTACAGTAACACGAGTCACAACATCAGATGAGGACATCGGGGTGAATGCAGTCAGCAGGTACTCCATAAGGGATACGAGTCTCCCGTTTGCCATAAATCCCAGCACTGGGGACATCACCATCAGCAGACCACTGAACAGGGAGGACACCGACCGCTACAGGATCAGGGTCTCTGCACATGACTCGGGGTGGACGGTGAGCACAGATGTCACCATATTTGTCACAGATGTCAATGACAATGCCCCACGATTTACAAAACCATCCTATTACCTGGAGTGTCCCGAGCTTCCTGGGATTGGGCTAAAGGTCACCCAGGTTTCAGCCACCGATCCAGATGAAGGGTCCAATGGTCAAGTCTTCTACTTCATAAAATCCCAGTCCGAGTTTTTCCGCATTAACGCAACCACGGGAGAGATTTTCAACAAGCAGTACTTAAGGTACCAAAACTCCAGCGGTTCCAGCAATGTCAACATCAACAGGCACAGCTTCATAGTGACATCGTCAGACCGGGGCAGTCCCCCGTTGGTGAGTGAGACCACCGTCACCATAAACGTGGTAGACAGCAATGACAACGCACCGCTCTTCCTCGCCCCTAAATATTTCACTCCTGTCACTAAGAATGTGAAGGTTGGCACAAATTTGATTAAAGTTACTGCGGTGGATGACAAGGACTTTGGCTTGAATTCTGAAGTGGAGTACTTCATCTCTGATGAGAGCAAAACTAATAAATTCAGACTGGACAGGAGTACAGGCTGGATTTCTGTGTCATCTTCACTAATGGCTGATTTGAACAAAAACTTCCTGTTTAAAGTGAAAGCCAAGGACAAGGGTAATCCCCCGCTCTCATCCGAGGTAGCTGTTGAAATAGTAGTGACAGAAGAAAATTACCACACACCCGAGTTTTCCCAGAGCCGCATGAGCGTTACTATCCCGGAGAGCTACTCTGTTGGAGCCGTGGTCAGGACGATTTCAGCACGGGACAGAGATGCTGCCATGAACGGATTAATCAGCTACAATATTTCCTCTGGAAATGAAGCTGGAGTCTTTGCTATTAATACCACCACTGGTACACTGACACTAGCCAAACCACTTGATTTTGAGTTATACCAAAAGCACGAGCTGGTCGTCACTGCCACGGATGGAGGATGGGTGTCCCAAACAGGCTACTGCAGTGTCACTGTTAATGTCATTGATGTCAATGACAACTCCCCAGCATTCAGCCCTGAGGAGTATTTTCCCACCGTGCTAGAAAATGCCCCCAGTGGGACAACTGTTATTTGTTTAAATGCCACTGATGCTGACTCTGGGTCTAACGCTGTGATTGCGTATGCCATCCAGTCCTCAGACAGTGACCTCTTTGTCATCGACCCCAACACGGGAACCATCACCACCCAGGGATTTCTAGACTATGAAACGAAGCAGAGTTACCATCTAACAGTAAAGGCTTTTAATGTTCCAGATGAAGAGAGGTGCAGCTTTGCTACTGTCAACATCCAATTAGAAGGGACAAATGAATACGTGCCTCGTTTTGTGTCCAAGCTTTATTATTTTGAGGTTTCAGAGGCAGCCCCCAAAGGTACTGTTGTAGGTGAAGTTTTTGCAAGTGATCGTGATATGGGCATTGATGGAGAAGTCCACTACCTCATCTTTGGCAGCAGCAGAAAGAAGGGCTTCCAGGTGGATGAGAAAAGCGGCCAGATCTACGTTTCAGGACCTCTTGACAGAGAAAAAGAAGAACGAATCTCTTTGAAAGTCCTTGCAAAAAATTTGGGGAGCATTCGTGGTGCAGATATAGATGAAGTAACTGTTAATATCACAATCCTGGATGCCAACGATCCTCCCGTTTTTACCTCGGGAGCCTACAATATACGGATCAGCGAGGGTGTTCCTCCAGGCACCCATGTCACATTTGTCAGTGCCTTTGATTCAGATTCTGTCCCTAGCTGGAGCAGGTTTTCCTATTTTGTCGGGTCTGGCAATGAGAACAGCGCCTTTTCCATCAACCCACAGACGGGACAGGTGACGGTCACTGCAGAGCTGGATCGAGAAACGCTGCCTGTCTACAACCTCTCTGTGCTGGCCATTGATTCGGGAACGCCATCCGCGACAGGAAGTGCCTCTCTGGTGGTAACTTTGGAAGACATCAACGACAACGGGCCTACCTTGTCCACCAGCCAAGGAGAAGTCCTGGAGAACAACCGCGCAGGAACGCTGGTGATGACGCTGCAGTCGTCGGATCCCGATCTCCCTCCCAACCAAGGCCCTTTCACATATTACTTGCTCAGCACGGGCCCTGCCACCAGCTACTTCAGCCTCAGCACTGCTGGAGTCCTGACAACGACAAGGGAGATTGACAGGGAGCAAATCAGCGATTTCTACCTCTCGGTGATTACCAGAGACTCTGGCATTCCTCAGATGTCTTCCACAGGAACTGTGCAGATCAAGGTAATAGACCAAAACGACAACCCGTCGCAGCCCAGAACAGTAGAAATCTTTGTTCATTATTATGGCAACCTCTTCCCAGGTGGAATTTTGGGCAACGTAAAGCCGCAGGATCCAGATGTGCTGGACAGCTTCCAGTGCTCCCTCACCTCAGGAGTCACCAGCCTTTTCAGCATTCCCGGGGGCACCTGTGAGCTGCACTCGCAGGCGAGGTCCACAGATGGCACGTTTGACCTGGGTGTCCTCAGCAACGATGGGCTGCACGGAGCTGTCACCAGCAGCGTCCGCGTCTTCTTTGCGGGCTTCAGCAACGCCACCATCGACAACAGCGTCCTGCTCCGCCTCAGCGCCCACAGCGTGCGCGACTTCCTCACCAACCACTACCTGCCCTTCCTGCGCATCGCCAGCTCCCAGCTGACGGGGCTGGGCACGGCCATCCAGCTCTACGGCCTCTCTGAGGACAGCAACCACACCTTCCTGATGGCGGCCGTCAAGCGCGGCAACAACCAGTACGTGAGCCCCAGCGGCGTGGCCACCTTCTTCGAGAGCATCAGGGACGTGCTCTTCCGCCAGAGCGGCGTGCGCGTCGAGGCCGTGGACCACGACTGGTGCCTGCAGAGCCCCTGCCAGAACGGGGGGAGCTGCCTGAGGAGGCTGGCAGTGAGCCCCGCCCTGAGGACCCACGAGAGCGTCCCCGTCATCGTGGTAGCCAACGAGCCGCTGCGGCCCTTCGTGTGCCGGTGCCTGCCGGGCTACGAGGGGAGCCTGTGCGAGAGCGACATCGACGAGTGCCTCCCGTCACCCTGCCACAACGATGGCACCTGCCACAACCTGGTGGGGGGCTTCTCCTGCAGCTGCCCCGAGGGCTTCACCGGCATGGCCTGCGAGAGGGACGTCAACGAGTGCCTTTCCAACCCCTGCAAAAACGGTGCTGCCTGCCAGAACTTCCCAGGAAGCTTCAACTGCGTTTGTAAAACCGGGTACACAGGTACGTGTTTGCTCCTCTATGTACCTTACAGTCCAGAAAAGATGGCAAGAGTGCCTTCTTAGCCCAAAACTGGCTGAATACAAGCATCCCCCTGGATGAAGAGATCATGCGAAATGAGGTATTAATAGTGTGAAAGCTCAGAATACCCAGATGCCTGCAATATTATTTTATTTTAGCTCTCTCCCAAGGTAAATCTCACTTACCTGATTTGCATTAGAACAGAAAGATTTTTGCAAGGGCTATTCAGTTTTTTTAAGCGTGTGAGAACCATTTCCAATGCTTCAGTATGATTTTGCTGTACATGTTATTGTTATGCATATTGTGGGAGCATTTCAAGTCTGCTAGAAGTGTGCCAAGCAAGAAATTCAGCCTCTGCCCCAAATTACTTGCAGGACAGAAAACAGATGAAGAATATGGGAAAAAAACCAGAATTCAGGCAAAATGGTCAACCCCTCTGTTCTGTATTTTGTTCCTTTGTAATTTATTTTTTTCATTAAGCGCAGAAATGTCTGCAGCATTTCTACCCCTTCTGAGTATTTTTTTCTCTGATATTCATTACACATTGAAACACAGCAGCGTTGTAACCCAGTAAAGCAAACTAATCTGTGCTTCTGCTGTGAGTAGGATATTTAAGGTCTGAGCAATTTTATCCAGTGCTTATAGCCACTTTTCTTAGAAATCAGCTAAAAAAAAAACTAACTAGAGGAGATTTAGGCAAGATTTTCAGTGCCTTTTCTAAGGAGCATTTCTGCATTGAGGAAGCCCCAGGGCAGCCCAGCTGAGCCCAGCTCTGTCCATTCTGGTGTGGGACTTGCCACCACCACAGCTCACCTGTAGCCCACAGAGGGATCCAGGGATCCTGTGTTCCTTTGGGTGAAGTGGGTCTGTGCGGGAGAAAATGAGGAGAAGTTAATTTCAAATTAAAGGTTTAATTACTTAATTTAAATTGCAGCTGCAGCAGCGGATACATATTCAGTGCAGTATCAAGGACACTGATGAGATCTTCTGCATGAACCTCACAAATGTGCTCCTGAGCCTCAGGTCAGGAGCAATTGCTGTTAATTGACAAGCAGTTCTAATTAAATTATTAATCCAGGATTTTATTTCATGTTGTATTAGCATATCAAATTATTTTGCCAGGAGCATGGCAAAATAATTGTAGAGCACCTATGCCCTGTAACTCTTGAGGACATTAGCACCAGAGAGTACATGGGCATGTGTTTGCTGCTGCAGTGAAGCAAAACACTTCATTAACTCTAGCAGCAAACTACAGTGTATGCCTCTAGACTGTAATTTGAAACATTTATGAAGCATCCAGCTGATTTCTTCTGGTATTATATTCATATATTAATGCTCAACCCTTATGTCAGCTAAAAATCAAGCACTGCATGTGACAAGCTTAAAAAAAAAAAAAAGATGAGTATTTTTGCTAAGAGAATGTGATGAGAGACTCTTAGAGTTTGAAGTGTTGGATTTCTTTCATGCCATAAATTAAGTGTGGCATCTGATAGAAGCTTTCTTAAACTCCTTGTCAACACAAATAACCTTAAAATAGACTGCCACTGTGGCAGACATTTCTATTTGGGAGTCAGATGTTGTTTAATCAGTTGGCCATTGCAGAATCAAGAGTTATTAAAGTGTCCTGAGATTAATTGGTCAAGACAGAAAACAAATGGCACCAGTGTAATTAAAAGACAAAATATCTTCGGAGTTTAATATCAACAGAGCTTCTTAGATAAGATCACAGTTATCACACAGTATATTTAGACATTTTATGTCTGCAAAAGCATATTTGAAATTCTTCAAATTAAATATTCAATAGGTTCTGCAAACAAATGTCAGTGTACTGATTGTTTGAGAATGCTTGACATAGAGGCTATTATGTCATTATTATACTGCCAACAGAAAGAGAGCACAGCTGCTTGAGCTCTTAATTTGCATTCATATGTGATTAAAGATAGCCACAGTAGATGTAAAAATAAAGCCTTAAACTGTTTCTTCGTGGATATAAGCCTTGAGTGCCTCAACAGCAACAAAACAGAGGCATCCAAAATAGCGGATTTCTAATTCAGTTCCCCATATACATAGTTTTGCTTCTCTATGCTGGAATGAAAATACAGTCTCATAATTGAATTTACACGCCTGGTAAAAAAAATAACATTTACATGGTAGTGCATGCAAGTAGAAATTAGAACTTTCTGGGACAGACTCTCTGTTCACTGTAAATTAGAGTACATGAGCTGTAGACCTTTATAATGGTATACCTGAAAACTGAGAGTCTTACTTTTCCTTGATTTATTTTGTTTTGTCAGCTGCATTTCACTTCATCATACTGCAAAAGGTAATGTCATTTTTTTCACTGGATAGGATTATAAAGACTGATTACCTCAGAGCAACATCATTAGGGTTTGAACAATCTGTTATAATTATATCTCTTAATAGTGAACAGGTTTTGTTTTTAAAATAATCGCTTTCTGGAGGGAATATGCTTGGTGATTTACAGTAGTTGTCTGCCCTTCCTTTGAACCCTTCATTTCCTGTTTTCCAGGATTCATTAAGATGAAGGAATGTACAGTTGTGAAGTTTTTTCAAATGCAAGATTAGAATGCTAGAACAACCACTTTAAAAGATGGACACAGAGAACCACAAAAACTAAAACTCCCAAATCAGCTGAAATCTTAACTGGAGAACATTCAGCTGGTATCTGTTCTTGTTACATTTTTCAATTAACAAAAAAAAAAAAGTCTGAGGAACTTAGGTTTTTGTATAAGCCCCTGCCTGTGATAACATCAGCTGGAGGTGATGAATGATAAATGTTGAATGCTGTCTGTTACCAATTATCCAGCATTCTCCTCATTTTCACGGTCGTCAGAAAAAGATTTTTCTGATGCAGAAATGAATACCTTGCATCTTTCAGAATTTCAGCCTAGAATTGATCTATAAACTCAACTAAATTCAGTTTTCATCTAGACCAATCTGGATGGGATTGTGAGCAGCTTAGTCTCATGGAAGGTATCCCTGTCCTTGATAGGGGGTTGGAACAAGATGGTTTTGAAGTCCCTTTCCAACCCAAACTGTTCTATGATTCCATAATTCTGTTATTTTAAACACGCTTCTATTGGTTTCAAGAGCTCTTCAAACAACAGTTAAGCATAAAGAGGATGCTGTCATTCATGGGTTAAATAAGTGCAGCTGAAATAAATATCCATATTCTCTTGCTGACTCAGCAAATGCGCCAGCTTTAATGTTAGCTGGGAAGAAGAAGAGTATTTAGCTAGATTGAACTGCAAAAATCCGAGTAAGCCTTTTTAGCTGCACTTGATTTTTGTGAAAACTGAGCAGCATCACTGAGCTATTTTAAGCATATCTGTCTCACTCCTCCTATGTGCTCTCCTCCATGAGTCAAAGACCTCTACTACAGACCATAAATTGAAAACAAAGAAAACAGCAAAATCTCACATAAAAAGTTAGCTCATCCTTCAGTCATGCCCATTAGAGAATAAAACATAAATAAATACCCCCAAAGCATAATTAGATTCAGGCACTGGAAAAGTTTCCTGGATTTATGGTGCATCTACAAGTGACGTATTAACCGCAGGAATCCTCCAGCGCTCCATTTCCACCCTGCTTGCAGTCACACATGGGGAGCTGCTGCTCACATGCAAGAGCTGCTTGCAAACTGTAGGTTAAACAAAAGAAAAAGTAAAACAGGGGTGAAAAACAAGAGGTTTTCTTGAGTCTTAGGTGACTCAAGCTGTTAAACTCCAAAGTTTGTAAAGCCAAGTCCTGGCTTGCTACAGTTTTAAATTGCACCAGCAACCTCTAAGGATTGGTGCATTCCTGTCCTGGGAGATGTAAAATTGCAAGATATATGTGACATGCAAGAATGGACACCCTCTGTGCAAGCTCACGTTGTACTTTTAACTTAAATGTACACATATGGTGTAAGAAGTAAAACAATTAATTTTCGATGCAGAAAGAAGCATTAAGACAATCTCAGCCCTTGCTTTGTGCATATAGCCTGGCTGAGATGAAGTTCAGGAGAAGTCTGGGAGACTGTGGCTGCTTTTGTGAGTTTTTGCAGTGAAACAGGGAGCACCAGCATAACAACACTCTGAAGTTTTTGCTGAGCACAGGCAGTGAAGGCTGGCACTGCTGGCGAGAGGAAGACAGGTTCCAAGAGTGGGATGTAGTGGAAGTGTTGCTAAACTCATCAAAGCCAAGCATTGAAAACCTTAGAAATGAAGACCAATATTTTTGTAGTTAATGTTTCCATGCAAAGAAAATTTCAGCTTCATGCATAGAATACGTGTGTCTGTATTTGGTGTCTGTCACTTTTTCTCTTGGTTCCCTTCCTTGCTGAAATGAATTATGTGATTTCAGTTTGTTCTCTGGGGAATAATATTTACCACATGTGACAATGTCTGCTTAGAAAAGGTCTGTATCCAGGGTAGCTTGTTTTAGCTCCAGAGGACTGTGGTCTCTCCAAGTCAGGAAGGAGGTTGTAATTGATGAGGAAAAATAAGAAAAATCATATAATGTACAATAGCAGCCTCTGTTCAGCATGACCTGCCTGTGCAGGGTCCAGCAAGGGCTGTCTCTATCTCCTTTGCACTCCTGAGTATATTGCACTCAACAGGGAAGAAAAAAGATTCATTTTTACAGTTCTTTATTTCAGCATTGCCTTTAATTGCATCATCTTTCTTTTATAGACACCAGCTAATAAAATAATTCAATTAAAACAACATTCCATCAGTACCTATGATCACAATGAGAGGCTTGAAAAGTTGAGTTATTTTCTCTGGGCCACAGATTATGCCTATGGCAGGGCTGGGAGCAGCCCAGCATCCTGTCTGTGATTCCTCTCTCCATCCCAGAGCTGGTCCCTGGCATCCTCTATCTCCTGGCCATGTGTTCAGCATTGGTTCATAACCTCATTACCTACAACACCAGCCTGACTTTCCTATTTCCCTGAACAGTCTGACCTGGAAATTGCTTTTGTTCCCTCCTCACAGGGAAAACGTGTGACTCCACTGTCAACTACTGTGAGTGCAACCCCTGTTTCAATGGTGGGTCCTGCCAAAGTGGGCTGGAGGGGTATTTCTGCCACTGTCCCTTTGGTGAGTACCCTTCTCTCCTCTTCATCTCCCCTTTCCCTACTCATATTTCTATTTATTTTTACCTGCATAAATAATTTCTGGCTTGAAATTTATTCCAGGTCTGGAAAAAATGCATGCATTTAGAGGTTCAAGTAACTCATTTTTCTTCAGAAGAAAATTAAAAAGTGATGTGGTCACTACAAGTACATACTTGTCATTCCTAGTAGCAGGTCCTTTATCTCTCATAGAAAAACATACGACCCAGCCAACAACTCAGTGCCTAAAAATTAGAAAGAATATTTCTGAACAGATAGAGAAATAGACATAACTGTCCAAAAGTAAGAATGTATGCTTGAAATACTTAAATCAAGACTATTGGCTTCCTAAAGATGAAACTTAAACACAGCTGGATCAGGGCTGAAGTACCTTCCCCACCCAGAATATCCAAAGTTCAGTCTGAAGGAGGAAGTATGATGATAACAAAGCTCTCCTGATGAATAACAGGCCCTTTTAGTGGAGCTGAACAGTAAGACCACTGTAAATAACATCAGTATTTTACATCAGAGAAGCATATAGTAGTGCCAAAATAGTTTCATAATTTTTAGAATTTAATTATCCCAGATTTGGTTTGTGGAATGGACCCAATAATAACATAGAACAACATGGATATTTTAAGGCATCGTGACACGATTGTAGCAGGATTGATTCTGAATGCAGATTAATCCAGAATTGCCATTTTTGATATGGAAAAGTATGAAAGTAAATGTAACAAATTAATAAAAGAAAAACAGAAATGTCCAGAAATCATCTCCAGTGTTTCAAGGCTGCTGAAAAGCCCTCTCACAAAAGTATAGTTCTCAACATGCATTTGTTACTAATGCTGAATATGTATTTCTATTAGCATGTGGAATAATTTGTCTATTCCCTTTTATTTCCTTTATTATACATTTCCTCAGGGTTAATTAATTTCCCATTGTAAATGTAACAAATATTCATAAATTAAATCAGGAGTTTTTTTCCCATTGTTGATGCAGTAAAAGAAAAATCAAGGGAAATTATGTGACAGAGCTCTGAAAAGAAGTATGTAGAATGCACCAAAATATGAATATCAATTTTTACTGACATGAGGAGACATAATATTTTAATCACACATATACTTATTTAATAAATATAAAAAATTACCCACCCAGTGAGAAACAGTTCAGATAACAGCCGCAGAGCGAAAAATAAACTCAACTTGCACATTTATTTCCATAGCTGGATTAATAAATGCCTGATGATAATTAACAGCCATGTCCTGACAGAGCTGTCAAGCTGGCTTGGTTTGGCATTTTCTGAAGAAGCCACAGAGCTCAACAAAGTGCTTTTCAATAGATGCATCTGTCCTTTGTAATTCAATTTTTAAATTTAAATATAATGTACCTCAGCCCCCAGCTGTGGATAATAGCATTCCTCTGTTGGTTGTGTGGTTTTAATTGTACGTTGGGGGTTCCACAGCCGTGTGGAGAGCACATCCATGCTTCACACGGTGAGGAAAAATCCCCGCGATTCCAGGCTCCGCTTTTCCTTTTTCAGGTGTTTTTGGGAATCACTGCGAGCTCAACAGTTACGGGTTTGAGGAGCTGTCCTACATGGAGTTCCCCAGCCTGGATCCCAACAACAACTACATCTACATAAAGTTTGCCACCATCAAGGGCAGCGCCTTGCTGCTGTACAACCACGACAACCAGACGGGGGAGCGGGCGGAGTTCCTGGCGCTGGAGATCGCGGACGGCCGGCTCAGGTTCTCCTACAACCTGGGCGGCGGCACCTACAGGCTCACCACGGCCAAGAAGGTGTCTGACGGACACTTCCACACCGCCATCGCACGCAGGGCTGGAATGGTGAGAAGCGCTAAAAATGGGGATTTTAAGGGGAATTCAGTGAAATCACTCTGGCTTCCAGGCAAACTCGGAGGAACGTGAAATTAGCGGCGTCGCGTTTGCTAGCAGAAACTCCAACTTTGGGAAAAACTTCCTTCGTTTCTGCCTCACTCCAACTGACTCAGAGCCCTGTGGTGGTTTGTTTAGTGTGATGATGATAAAGTGTAATGAAAAAAACATGTGCAAAGTGCCCCCAAACTCTCAATGTGAAAAATGGGAGCCAGAAATAATTAATGACATAGATGACTACGCACGGGGCTAATTAACTGCTGTAGATTGCAGGGATGATTATCAGGGAATGCTAATTAACCGCAGTAGTTGCAAAAAGCCTCAAAATCATTTTTCTCAAAATTTAGAAAATAGAAGTGGAGAGACTTAAAATTCTAGGCATCCATGACCTCCTTGAGCTAATTCAGAGAATTTTCTAATCTCATCAGACTGGGAGCCTGATTTTCCTCTGTAGCATACATGTAAAGAGTTAAAAGGCTACATTCTACATCAAGAGAATTTTTTGAGGGGAAGGAGGGAAGTTACTTCTCTCTCTGTCCCCCAGAATGCATCTGAGGTGAGGAATTCTGCCAGAACTGGGACAACTGATTACCATATGCCTGGCACTCTGACCCCTCTCCTGCCTTAATTTTTTTCTCCAGTAAATGTTTTCTATTCCTCTTCTCTCGTTTTTTAATAATATTTCCAAAGCAGAACATAAGCCAAATGCTCTTTGAATCCAAGCCAAGTTTTTTGACTCCACAGTGTTTGAGTTAGAAATGAAACCAAATCTATTTGCCATCCATAATCAGTAACTATTGCCCAACAGTTCCCTTTTCAGGCAGACATGACCAGCGTACGTGGAATTCATGTTTGGAATTAAAGTCATAGAGCAGTCCTATACAGTGGGGCTCCCCATTTTGGTTTGTATTTGTCAAGCTAGAAGTGATGGAGGGAATAAAAGCAGTAAACTCTTCTACCCAGTGTGGCTTCCTTCTAGTCCTTGCTCTTGAGCCCTTAACTCCATTTCCATTTCTAGTGCAATACCTGATATCTCCATTTATTCTGGGTCTTGCTCTCTTCTCCCAAGTTACAAGCAACAGGAGAAGAGGAAATGGCCTCAAGTTGCAGCAGGGGAGGTTTAGATCGAATATTAGTAAAGAGTTCTCCCCCAAAAGGGTTGTCAGTGCCTGGAAAAGGCTGCCCAGGGAAGTGGTGGAGTCACCATCCCTGGAGGTATTAAAAAGATGTGTAGGTGTGGCACCTGGGGACATGGTTGATTGGTGCTGACTTGGTGGTTAGACTCTTGCAGATCTTTTCCAACATTAAGGATTCTATGGTTCTGTGCAATCCAGTCTTCAGCTGGATTTGCAAATCCAATCTGTGTGTGTTTTTATGACTTATATATCCAAATAAGATGAAGGATAATTGTGATGTTGAGCAATGACTTTGGTTTAATGCGCTTTAATACCAGATGTTCAATTTGCATCTTGCAAATTTAATAATTTACATCACAGCTTCCTAATGGTAAAGCCTGAAGGTGCACTTCAGTCTTGACATGCACCAGGTTCCCATTTTAGTAACTAAAGTAGAATGTTACTTCCATTAATGAGATGTAAATGGCAAAGTATAAGGACACAGATTAAAAGTTGCAACAAATAAATGAAGTACACTGAAGAAAGAAAAAACAGAGAAAGAAAATGTTTTACTTGTCAGTGTGCCAGAAGACTATAGAAGTAGAGAGAACATAAAAAGGGCTATTTATAGAAATTTCAGCCATGAATGCTTCAGGCTAAAAGCAAATATTTAAGACAACCTATACCTTTGTGTGATTTTTTTGTTTGTTTGTTTTTAATGTTTAAACCTATTCAGTAATGTCAGCTGTTTACAAACAGCACGTGAAGAGAATCGCCTTTGTCTTAGGTATTTCTGCTGCAGGAAAAATGTCTCCCAGGTGTCCAAAACTGTATAAAATAGGCCCCCTTTAGGATTCCAAATCTGTCATTTCCTACAGCACAGTGGGATTTTATCGGAAACTGGTAAAATCATTAAGTTGTCAGTCCTGAGCTATTGCAAAGTGACAGGGTAGAAAGGCTCATAATGTGGCAAGGTAACTGTAGAGTAATGCTTAAGTAACAAGCAGGAACATTTGACTAACATTAGAAAATAAATTGTATGAACTCTGTTCCAAGTAAAATATATTCTCAAATATCCTGCCCTTCAGCTGGGGCTGGAGCTTGGCTTGCAGAGCACATAGCAATGTAAGTTAGGGAGATTATGGTGATTGAGCTAAGAACAAAAAAACTCATTTCAGTTTTTGTTGTTGATGTTCTGAAGGAAAAATATGTATGCATGTGGTGGCATACAGAGCAGCCAGCTTATTATTCTTTCTCTGAATTGTTTCATTTACACAAGGCTATAATCTGCTTTGGAACTGCAGACTGACATTTCTTGGGAGAAGCACTTTGCTCATTTGTATGGAAAGAAATTCAAGATAAGCTTCCATTAAAAATAGCAGATTGAACAATTTAATCGTACTGTAGGGCATGATTTAGGGCTAAGAGCTCTGAATTTATTTGGTCAATGCAGTGTGTCAGCTTGCAGCATGTATTTGGAGCTAGCATGGCCAATCTGTGGGGATTTCAACAGGCTGTTGTTACCAAACTTATTTGCAGGCAGTAAAAAAAATCTCTGCCGAGTAATGATGTACTGATAGCCAGTGCTGCTTGCTCAGCTCCCATAGAGCAATCTAAATAAAAATATAAACCCAGGCGTTTTTAAAGGTGGCATTTGATTTAAATTTGCTGTAAAACTCTACCACACATCTAGCTGAAACATGAGGAGATGTACAGCATGGAGATTATGTTTATTTTTCTGAAAATTTGTTTTAAGGAATAACTAACCTTCAGGGTTGGTTGGGGTTTCTTTTTTTCAGCGCATCTGTTATTAATAAATCACTGTGGGGACAATTCTTTGCTAAATAAGGAATAAAATAAAAACTCCTTTTCAAATCAGCAGGAGTTGTTTCATGATTTTAGTGACAGCTTTGGTTAGACTTTTATAGATTACAAATAGAAGGGCCATGAGTAACTTTAGTGTAAATAAGTTAGATGGGTATTCTCAGAATCACAGAATGGTTTGGGTTGGAAAGAACCTTAAAGATCATCTGATTCAACATCCCTGTCATGGGCACAGACACCTTCCACTAGACCAGGCTGAGGCAACAGTGTTGTCTAGGACTTGATGGCTTGGGGGTAAAAATACTAATAATAATAACAATAATTAAAGAGCAAGACTGCTGTGAGTAGTGGTAATGTTTGTTACTTCTCTAAACATCAGCTTGGTCCCACTCTAGGTGTCCAGATGCTCCTCCATTTTCAAAGTTGAGATCCCTCATGACCTCTTAGTCAAGGGGTTACCTTAAGCAGGTCCATTTGGTTACTTTTTGAGCTTTATTGAGTGGTTGGTTATTATTTTTAACTAGTAATCTCAGTGTTTCTAATCCCAGGGTCATTTTTTTAAACTGGTAATCTCAATGTATGTACTCCCAGCTTTTGTAACATGCTTTTTATCAATTCCAATATGTTTAATATCATAGTAAAGCCCCTGAAGGAACTCCCTTTGTGATTGGAAGGGGCAGCGTTTTGCTGACATTATCTGAACCATGTCAGGAGTAGGATATGGTATGAGCCAAAATAACTTCAGTGTCCGGGAGTAAAGCAAACAAATATGAAAGAAACCCTGCCCAAATGTGAAAAATTGGTGTTTAACTCCATGTCTGTATGAAGGAGACAGTTGGCTCCCCTCTCTGTATCCACACCTTGGTGGTGTCCACGCTGTGCTGGCAGGGTGTGGAGCTGAGCAGTGGCTCTGGAGCACTCTGCAATCCCAAGTGACATCGTGACATGCAAGTGCTCCTTTCTGGCCAAGTCCTTGATATAATACACCTAAACATAAATAATTCATGTGGTTGGGGACTAAAGCCTTGTAACACTCAGCATGTTTGTGTGTGTGCCTTATGCAGGCAGCATCCCTGACGGTGGATTCCTGCTCTGAGGACCAGGAGCCAGGCTACTGCACTGTAAGCAACGTTGCTGTTTCCACAGACTGGTAAATATTGTTTCATTTTGTGGGGTTAGCTTGGGGTTTGGGTGGGAGTTTTTTTTAAAATAAGTTAAGAAGAAATCTCCCTGTAAAGTCAGAGAAAGTTGGAATAAATATAAGGCTCCCAAGGGTCATTTTCTTCTATCTTTGCGGAAGCAAATTAAATTTTCTGCGTGTGTTGCTGCTTGCTAGGTCAGGCTACATTTGTGCATGGAACTGGATCATAACAAGGAGTTTGCTCAGAAATCCCCAGCTCTCTACACCATCTCTGTCCCCAGGCTCTGGTGGCAGTCAGGAAATGCATGGCCATGAATAATTTGCACTGTGGTACAAATGGGGATAACATCTATTGCCTAATGATTTGGGGTCATGTATTTATTTAAATTGCACCTCTCGTTGTTCATAAAGACATAGGAAATAAAATCACCTGATTAGTGCTGTCATTACAAAAATATTAACAGTAATTACTTTGACATTGTTTTCAGGTGTTTTCTGTTACAGTTTTGAGTTCATAAACAGTATCCAGTAAAGAACTCAAACTTTATTTCTGGTATTTACTGTAACTAGCTCAGTAGTCTTGGGCCCAAATTTTTGGAGATAACAGTAACTTTAATCTCAATCACTTTAGCTAATTTCTTAAAATAATCACAATGTTTCCTGCCACACAGGGTTTCCCTGCTAGCAGATGTGTTACATCTTCGTAAAACAATGAGTCCATCTTCCTGCTGTTTAAGTATCATCTAAAATCTCAATTATAGTTGGGTAAAAAACCTTATTTGTTGTGATCTCAAGCACACTGCTCAGTCAAGTGAATAGAAATTCTGACATGCAAACTGAGTGTGAATTTAGAGTCGTGCCCACTATAACTGTTCAAGTGATGTTAATCTCTGTGTCCCTTTCTAAATGTGAAATACCAATTTGGGAAGAGGAATTTTAGCCACAGGCTGTAACTGATGGTTGCAGTTCCTGTGCTGTCATCACCATCCTGATGCCCGGTACTGATTGGTCATTTTTCTCTTTCACAGGACTCTCGATGTACAACCAAATCGAGTTACTGTTGGTGGCATCAGGTCCATAGAGCCCATCCTTCAGAGGAGAGGACAGGTGGAAAGCCATGATTTTGTGGGCTGCATAATGGAGTTTGCAGTCAATGGACGTCCCCTGGAGCCCAGCCAGGCTTTGGCAGCCCAAGGAATCCTAGATCAGTACGTCTGCTATATATGGGATCAAATGGACCCCGTTTGCAATAAAGGAAACTATCCTGCATGCTATTCCATTCAGACACCAACAGATATTTTTGTTAGGAGAAAAAGACTGTAGAACCCACTGTAAAAAGTAGGAAGGAAGTGAATTTGGATTAAAGGTTCACTAAAGATTACAGAGTCTTAAAAACAAAAGCAGCATCATTACATTTCTGTTGTTGGTGATAATACAAGTAGCTTTGTGGGCTGAAATTGAGTCGCCCTTGTTCTTGGATTTCTTTATAAATTCCACCTGGTTTTGACTGTATTCATACTGTTTGCTAGCCCTCTACTCCCTTTTATTTCCTCTTAATCCACCACGTCTGTTCTCTCACTTTGCCTCTCAAGTATCACAGAATTTCCCTCATATCCTCTGAGTGCTCTTTCAGAAATGATGAACTATCCCATTCTATTGTTTTTTCCATCTCAGTATTTGAAGTCGCAGTTGCAGCAATAATGCCAGTCTTCCATCCAGATTTCCTCGTTCACACTTCCTCTCTCAACCCCCGTGTTTGCACTGATCATTGTAATACAAAGACCCTGGCAGTCTGCAGCATGAAAAAAAGCCTGAAAAGGTTTCTTCTCTCTTGCATCACAGATAATAGGAGTTTGGCTGTCTCTGAATTCCTTCCTCTTTTGTAAGACTGCTATAAATTGATGCTGAAAATTGGGATCTGCTTAGAAACTTGAGCTGTCTACAGAGATCCTTGGAATTACAGAATGGTTTGGATTGGAAGGGACCTAAAGATTATCCAGTTCCAATGACCCTGCCATGGGGCTTCTGCTAGACCAGGTTGCTCTGAGCCGTCCAACCTGGCCTTGGACGCTTCCAGGGATGGGGGGAAGAGCCACTTTAGCATCTCTGAGGGGAAGAAAGGGAGTACCATTTAAACAGATGACAATTCCCAGGGCATTTGCTCTGCTCATTTGTGTGCACCCTTTTCAGCATCTGCTTTTCTGGTTTCTGTCAGGTGTCCCAGGCTGGAAGGAGCTTGCACGACCAGCCCCTGCCAGCACGGTGGCACTTGTGTCGATCAGTGGTCGTGGCAGCAGTGTCTCTGCAAGGATGGACTTACAGGAAGGCACTGTGAAAAATGTGAGGATGTCTTTATGTCTAAATGTCTTTAACACACACCTGACTGTGGCTCAACCAAAGGCCGTTAAGGGGTTTCAGGGCCATGTGATAATGAATTTTATAAAATAATGAAAACAAGCAGCACGTTGCCTCTTAAGTAGTTTAAAAGTCCACAATGGACTGATGCCCTTTCGTGGGCTAAAAATGGCAACAACCTGAATACATAATGTTTTCTGGTCTGTATATCACATTTCAGATAACTTGCACTCATTTAAAGTCCTGCTTCCCAATAACATATAATCTGTAACTAAAATAAAGGGCTCCCATAGGAGGGATTTGCCTGCTATGGGGAGGTAAGAGGGTAAGCAAAAACCCCTTCACGTAAAGAGTGAGTTCATGTGCTTATGGCTTCTCCAAACTAAAGTCCTTTTCATCAAATTGACTGTGGATTATATGCAAGAAAATATTGTAAATGTAAATGAAAACAAGGCATTTACACTCGGGGGTGATTAACTCTCATAGGAGTAGCCCTCTAAATCAATATGGGATTGTTCAGGAGAGCAAAGTGATTTATTTCTGTGTAGTTGTAGTATAATGACTGGGCTTTGTTTTTTTACATGTCCCATTATTGTTTAGCTGATTTATATGCTTTTATTGCACCAGTTTACAAAAGAATTTAGCCATAATTTTAACAGCATTTGGTAGTCAGTGCTCTGCCTTTTTTATTCACTTTTTTTTTATGCCATAACAAATAGAAAGTCATTATCTCTGCCCTGAAGAGCTTGGAGTTCAATATATCATGAAACCCCGATGCAGTAATGGAAACAGTAACATCCCTGGGAAGGAATTACAGTTCTGAGAGCCAAATTTTTTTTCCCTACTCCCTTACTTGTTCCCTGGCGAGTTTTAATTTACTCTTGACTGATAGCAGCAGTAAATTACTCGCACACTCCCACTCTCAAGCACACATTCTGGTGGAAGCCAAAGAATAGAGGGGCTGCAGTTGCCATTCACTCCCGCTCGCCCCTGCCCTTGACCCGCTCTGACCTTGATCTCTGCTCCGATGGCTGGGGCTGTGTGCTCATGGCTTCCCTGTGCTTGTCCCAGATATCACAGCTGACACAGCCCTGTCCCTGGAAGGCAAGGGCCGGCTCGACTACCACATGAGCCCCAACAAGAAGCGGGACTACCTGCTGAGGCTGGGGGCTGGCGGCCGGCCGGGCGTGGAGCGCCTGGAGGTGAAGTTCATGACGAGGAGCGAGAGCGGCATCCTGCTCCACGTCCAGGAGAGCAGCAACTTCACCACCCTGAAGGTGAGATTGCACCTAAGGCCCGGTTTGGTTGGGTTGGGCTGGGCTGCCTCGTGTGCAGCGATCAAAATCGAGATTTTCCATTACTCTTTCTGTTTCCTTTGTGAAATATTAGGTCTTTAGCTGAGACTAGGCACTGCTCCAGTGTCATTCATCTTCTCAACAATTCCCTTCCTATTTGCCAAGGTATCAGAAGATCTTGATGGTTTTATATCTAATCAGTTCTGTCTAGACTCCAAATGGTGACTGTTTTAGGCGACGAGAACGGTGCTCATTGCCATGGTTATTATCATCATTACACTTTACAGAACAAATCATTTTGTTATTGGCCTTTTATCTTCTGAGTTTTTGAGCCTTGAACCCAGACCCTCCTTAAGCTAGCAAAGGATTGCCAAAAAGTTTTCATTAATTCCTACCAACATGGCTCAAACTTATCAAACTAGGAAGTGAGAGATAACTCAAATTCATGAGGTTACTCACAGACCAATGTCAATATCAAATTATTTTGGCACACATAGCTGAATTAGTGCTTGAAATGCCACACTGTTTTGTGGCTTTTTTGCTGTTTTTTTTTTTTTTTTTACTCAAAGAGCTTATTGCTGCAGAAGTTACCTTTCTCAGGAGAAAGCGATGGTTTGGTTCCTGGCGGTGACTCAGTCCATTTACTCATAACTCTAAATGAGTACAGCAGTGATGTTGGCAAGCCCCTTTATTGGGTTGGTGTAAGCTCCAAGTTTCCTTGACTGCTGCAAGGCTTTCCAACTTTTTCTTCCCTGACTTTTAGAGAAATTCATACAGAAATTCACACTTTCTAAGCTTCAGCCCCGTGGATATCCTCCACCTGCCTGCTCAGAAGCTTTCCTGACACACTGGCTGCATTTAAGAAGCAAGTCTGCACTACTTCCCTGGCATATACTTTTACCACATCATTTCGTAGGAAGTTTCTGCCTAGCTCATATTAGCAGATAAGATCTCATTAGTTTTGACTTCTGGAGAGAAAAAACCTTTTTCTCCCCCCTAGCAGAATTTGCTAGGTGAGTTCTCCAAGCTTTATTAAAAAAGAAGAGAGAGAGTTGCCTTTCCTGGCTGAAGCACTGGAGCTGTGTTTATGCAAACACTCTTGTTATTGTTAATATTGGTGAAGTTATACAAGCAAGCAGAGGGGGTCAAGTCCCAGCCCCAGCTGTGCAGGGGAAGAGAGCAGAGGTTTGCCTAGGACCAGATGCAGAAGTTTGAGGAGGGAGAGCCATGCCGGTTGCCAAGCAGTTCTCAGGTGATGCTAGTTAGTAAAACTGCAGTAATTTAACTGTAGCTAGTGCAGTATGGCCTCTGCACTGCTCCTCATTCCCAGAGTAGGTGTCACCATGAGTATTCCTCTCAGTGGTAGCCTGAGATGCCAATGTAGCCAACCCAGCAAAAGTCTCCATGTCATCTCCATCCACTCCTGGTGCAGAAGTTGGGCTTTAGGAACCTGTCTTGACAATTCTTGTCAGTCTTCAGAACAGACAATTTTATAACTTGATTTTTTGTGTCTTTTAATATGCCTGTTATCCAAAGTATTAGCATTCAGAGAAAACCTGCCATGTGTTTTTAATATTAAACCGTGCTAGGGAAAAGCTGAGAGTCCTGTGGCTACTTCCATGCCTTCACATTTTTCCTCTTGTAGCTAATTGGTTTTGGTGTGGCTGGGATTGGGGTAAAACTAGAGAAGTGGTAATAAATCAGACCCACTGAGATTGTGAGCAGTTGGTTCACTAAATGATGGATGTAAACTCCCCGCTAAGAACCCAGGAGGGGACTTTATCATTTAAAGGGATCCTCAATCCAGGAAAGAGGCAAGTGTTTCCAGATTACATTAAATAATTGTCAAATTCAGTTGGAAAATGCTTCCTCCAAAATTCACTACAACAAAGAGGGTGGGGCATTCCTTATTACTAGCGCTCTTTGTCACAGCTTATTTTCCTACAAGTGCACATTGCGAGTAATTCAGTTAGAGGTAATGGGATAAATAGAGCAGGTTAAAGGTGAAATTGCCTGTCTTGTCCTGCTTTATCTAGAAATCTCATCTGCAGTCAGATCAAATTAGCATAAACAGAACTCTACAATCTCTGAACTGTATGGGTAGAGAATGCGGATTACATTCTACCTATTTCAGCTAAAATACTCCTGTGTGAGGGGTGGTTGGGCACTGGCATGGGTTGCCCAAAGAAATTGTGGCTGCCCCATCCCTAGAAGTGCTCAAGGCCAGGTTGGATGGGTCTCTGAGCAACCTGGGATAGAGAAAAGTGTCCTGCCCATGGCAGAGGGATTGGTACTGGATGATCTTTAAGGTCACTTCCAATGCAAACCATTCTGTGGTTCTATGCATATGTCATGTTATAGGAACTAGACAGATCATAACCCTTTTAAATGAACCGCCATTCAAGAGCTAGTTTTAAGACAAAACCCAATTTGTTCAGCAAATGAGACTTGGAATACTAGTAAAGTAGAATCAGCCCTGTAGTTAGGAATATGCTTGCTTTAGTGGTTCATTCTTTTCATTACATTCTACTTGTCACTCGCTCAGCCATTTAAATAAAACCCAGAAATTTGTGTTACTCAATGCTGTAAACTTCAGCCTTTGTTTCAAATTTAGAAACATGTTGTGCTTCAAGGCACCATTCCATATCTTTTCCTAGTTGAAGCAGTCATGGATCAGTCTTGTCTCTGGAAATTTTCTTTTCCAAATGCCCCTAGTATGTTATTTATGAGTCTTTTAGCATTAGTCACATGCAATTTTAAAGATATAGAAATAGGGTTAAAGAATCATGAATTATAATGGAAAATATCAGTTGCTGACAGGTAAATAATTCTACAGGCCTTTTCTAAGGTGAAATTAAAAATTTTACTTCTGTGCTCAGTCTCCCCTTAAGTTTGGAGAGTATTGTCTGGCATGGTGTATCCCTTTCTCTTTGCATAAAAACTAAAATACAAGGCAGTGTTTTTATAGGGCATAAAAGATAGAATAAGACATAGCAAGCCAATACAGGTTGCAGACATAAATATATGTATACATTCAGCTCAGTCAAGCTTTTTATAAGTTATTGTGAGAAATGGTGTTTAATATGTTTTAAAAATCTGCATTTGTAACAGTGGGATTTTCCTTGGGCTGTGTGATAGTTTAGACACATGCCACTTGTGTTTTATCAGTAACAAAAGCATCCTGTCTGTGAGGTGAGCCTTATCAAACAATACATTTTCAAGTAGTCTAAATTACTGCCTTTGAAAATGAAGTGGATGCACATATTAACCATTCTTGTGTCCTCCATCCAAATGGAAAACGTGCTAGATGCATTCATTCAAGCAGCTGCCAAGACATGAGCGTGGTCTTAGAGCCTTATTAAAGCTGGAGTGTCTGAACAAAGTCCTCAGCTTGCATCACCGGAGAAGCAAATCCAGAACACTTAACAGTTTCTGGAAAGGAGAGCAGCATTCTTGTAGCCAGTGTGTCACCTCACAGTTCTTCCCAGGTGAACCTTATTTTTCCTGGAACAAAGGAAGCAGGGCCTTGAGAGCTTCCAGCAAACCTGGGGCTGTGACCTTTCCTGGACTCTGCCTGCGCACGTCCTGCACGCGTGGGGTACGGATCTCGGACTGGTCGAGCTGGGACAGAGAGGAGCTGTTCCATCCAATAGGTGTGACCAAGCATGCAGGAACATGTGACCAAAAGTGCAGAGCACCAAAGGAAACTTGCAGCGAGTCCCAGAGCCATCCTCTGTGAGTCTGCGCAGTTCTGTACGCCCCTAGGACGTCAGCCAGCATACCCAAATTCACGCAATATCTGAGAAACTGGCAGGGCTGGATGTTGGGGATTCCTTTTAAGCTCCTGCATCTTAAGTGCAGAATTTGCACTGATCTCATTTTGGGATCATGGTAAGAGGTTTGAAGTCCCGCATCTCATGATTCGGTAGAATTGTGGGGCATCATTATTAAGAGAAAAAGCCATAGTATTCTTCCTTTTTTCCCTGGCTGTTCACAAGTTTTAAAGCGGTTTGCTCAAGAAAGCACTACTTGAAAATTCTCACAAAATCACGCGCTTTGCAGCTCTTCAGAAAGCTTTCTGAAATACCACAAAAGTTTCCTGCAAAATACCAATTAGCAGAAAAAGCAGATATGAAATGGGGCTCTTGCTCAAGCCCTGCCATGCCTTATGCATTCCTACTGTGTCGTAATAAAAACTGGATGCAATTTTCTTGGCCGAGGACAACATCTGTTCATTCTGCTAAGCATTTTCCACACTTGCCTTGAAGAAGGAGAAAGAAATATTCTTTCTCTGGTTGAAATGTGTGTCATATGCATGCCCTATAGCTGGCTGCTCAGTAGGATTAGCCCGGGGTTGAATGGGTGGCAGCTCTAAGATGCCCATTTTCTGCTGAAGTTTCTACAATGTGGTGTATTTAATTCTGGCCAAATTTTTCATAGTAAATAATTATTGCCTTTTTAGTGCAAAGCAATTATTTGGGGGAAAATATACCCACCCCAGCCTTTCTATTACACCAAAGCCACGTGTTACTGTAGCTGTGAGTATACATCAGAGGGGTTATGTGTGCGTGTTACGCGACACCAGTTTAAAATTACGTGCCATGTGTTCTTCTGAGCAGATCAAAGGTGGGAAGGTGCACTACATATCTGATGCTGGAGTTGCTGGCAAGGTGGAGAGGAACATCCCTGAGGTGTATGCTGCAGATGGCCAGTGGCACTCGGTGCTCCTGGAGAAGAACGGCTCTGCCACCACCCTGTCGGTGGACAGGACCCACAGCCGGGACATCCTCCATGCCACTCAGGACTTTGGTGGCCTCAACATCCTCACCATTTCTCTGGGAGGAATTCCGTCCAGCCAGCCTTTCAAGAGCACAGCTGCAGGTAGTTTTTTTTTTCTCCCCAAGTACTGTAATTCTTTATTAGTAATTAGCGTACGTCCATCCTTTGCCAGAAAAAATGCAAATTGAATGAGTAAGGATTACAGATTTTGTTCCTTTAGTACACACTGCAGGCTTCTTGTTTCCACAAGCAGACACTCCATCTGCAGGGCTTTTTTGAGACAGGGGAGTTGCTTGTCTCTACCTCAATTGCTGTATTTTTGTTACCCCTATGGAGAAGAAAATATGTATTCTTCACCTGAATCATAACCTGGAAAAATCAAGGCAAATCTTTCATTTGGGCAAAAATGCTAAACAAAGACTTTTTAGGGATTTTATAAGTACCGCAGGACTTACCCTGTTATTTATATGATTATAATATTTACTGCAACTCCAAGGTCCTGCTGCTTTATCCTGCTGTCAAATGAAAAATAGGAGTTATTTCTGAGCAAGGAAAATAAAGGAACACCCTCTGACTGATGTCTAGCTGTTAAGGAGCAAATCAGTCTCCCTTAAGAGTTAAAGTAACTGTCTCAAACCCTGGCAAAAGAAGTAGATAACGCATATTTGATATCATTTCCCAAGTGCTAGGTAAAGATGGAAGTGATTTTTAGCTGCAAAACATGAGATTCTCCAGGCAATACAGATGTATTTTTCACATATTTCTATATTGAAGAATCTTCCTGGCTTCATGAATTGTGACCAGATAAAGTATTTTTGAGTGGAGTAGAATCACACTTTACACTTGTGTATTGTGAATATGTATGAAATGGGGTGTAAAAGCTTGTGGATGCTGTGCTAACCTTTACCCTTTTTACATGTATGTTTTATGAGCAGCATGTGCATGGAAAGAGCAGAGGCTTTAGGAAAGCTGGAACAAGGAAAATTGAGGACACTAACCTCTCACCACTGCCCAGTGCTGTGGCAGACAAATTAGGAATGTCTGGCTTCCATTAAGCAGACACACAGTCCAAAATCCCTTATTCATATGATTTTATTTTATTTTAATATTGGATTACATTGGGTACGACATACCAAGGATTTACAAGGCTCTGGTATAAAACTCTGCATGAACTCAGAGTCAAAAATATCTGCAGTGCTGTTAAAGGCAGACAACACACGAGGCGACAGGCTGTGAAGCTGCTGTGTTCAGTAACATTTCCAAATCCAGGTAGATGTGACAAATTGTTTATCACATCAGTACTACAAGGAACCTCCATGCATGCAGCAAGGTGATCATCACTTTTGCTTGGGCTCCCAACTGAACCTAAATCTTCAACCCTGAGGATTCTAAACCTTTAGCAGCATCTCATACCACTCAAGTGTATTTGCTGTCTCATGACAGAGTGGTGGTATCCATCTCTGTGTACCATTTTGCCACAGCTCCAAGCAGAGATCCCCGTAAGGTTGCACTACCTCAAAACTCTTCCAGAAAGGATTTAGTCGGGGGAACACAGAGGATTATTGGGCTGGCAAAAGGCTGGATTTTCCTGTGACCTCACTCAGCCGCTGCACACAGCCTGGGGATAATTCCATCTCCTGGGCTCTCACAGCACTAAAATTTGTTGTAGGGTAGCACTGCAACCAAAGTATGGGAAGTTTGCGGAAAGGCCCCTCAAGATTCAGAGAAACAAAAGAACTGCCATGAATTTAAGGGACAGGAGGCTTAGCTGAAGCACGTTGGGCAAACTCAAATAATGCCTGGTGCTAGCACAGCCAAGCCAGCTGCCCTCGGGATTCTCTGTGGGAAATGATAAGAAGTTTTAGAGATATGGGAAAATTGGGAGACAAAAGCATTTCAGTATATTGAATACACTGAAATACATTGAATATACTGAATATATTGAAATACTATATTTCAGTCATCAGACATCATATTTATTCAAACTCAATTTAAAGACATTAAGTGCTGTTAGAATGGATGTTTCCCTGTGGTAACCATGTGAATTCTTGGCTTGTTCAGTGAACAGTGTAGTACCTACTGAGTATGTACAGTGAGTATGTACCACGCTGTTGATAGTGCATCGTAGTTATTCATACTCAATTTAAAGACATAAAGTGCTGTTAGAATGGATGTTTCTCTATGATAACCATGTGAATTCTTGGCTTATTTAGTGAACAGTGGAGTATGTACTGAGTATGTACAGTGAGTATGTACTGCGCTGTTGACAGTGCACGCTCAACCTTAAGCTCCCAACACCTCTGTCCCTTTTTTCCCCTCTCTCAGGCTTCAGTGGCTGCATTTCCTACATCAAGTACGGCGGGGAGACCCTTCCCTTCTCCGGCAAGCACAACCTGGCCACGCTCTCCAGAACAGACCCCTCGGTGAAGACGGGCTGCCGCGGCCCCGACGTGTGCGCCAGCAATCCCTGCTGGGGCGAGCTGATGTGCATCAACCGCTGGTTCGCCTACCAGTGCGTGCCGCCGGGCGCCTGTGCCTCCAGCCCCTGCCTCAACGGGGGCAGCTGTGAGCCGGGCCGCCAGGCCGGCTTCACCTGCAGCTGCCCCGAGGCCTACGCGGGACGGACGTGCGAGACCGTGGTGGCCTGCCTGGGCGTGCTGTGCGCCCCCGGCCACGAGTGCAGGGCGGGTGTCAACGGTGGCCACGTGTGCCTGCCGTCCCCACACCCTGCGGAACTGTCCCTGCCGCTCTGGGCCGTGCCGGCCATCGTGGGCAGCTGCGCCACCGTCCTGGCGCTGCTGGTGCTCAGCCTCATCCTCTGCAACCAGTGCCGGGGCAAGAAGTCAAAGGGGCCCAAAGAGGAGAAGAAAACGAAGCAGAAGAAGAAGAAGAAAGGGAGCGAGAACGTGGCGTTCGATGACCCTGACAACATCCCGCCCTACGGTGATGACATGACCGTCAGGAAGCAGCCCGAGGGGAACCCAAAACCCGACATCATCGAAAGGGAAAACCCTTATCTCATCTACGACGAGACGGACATCCCGCACGCCACGGAGACCATCCCCAGCGCCCCGCTGGCCTCCCCCGAGCCCGAGATCGAGCACTACGACATCGACAACGCCAGCAGCATCGCCCCTTCCGACGCCGACATCATCCAGCACTACAAGCAGTTCCGCAGCCACACACCCAAGTTCTCCATCCAGAGGCACAGCCCGCTGGGCTTCGCCCGGCAGTCCCCCATGCCCCTGGGAGCCAGCAGCCTGACCTACCAGCCCGCCTACGGGCAGGGCTTGAGGACAACATCCCTGAGCCACTCGGCGTGCCCCACTCCCAACCCGCTGTCTCGGCACAGCCCCGCACCCTTCTCCAAATCCTCGACGTTCTACAGGCACAGCCCAGCCAGGGAGCTGCACCTCGCCATCAGGGAAGGGAGCCCGCTGGAGATGCATGGCGACGTCTGCCAGCCCGGCATCTTCAACTACGCCACTCGGCTGGGCAGAAGAAGCAAGAGCCCCCAGACCATGGCGGGCCACAGCTCCCGCCCGGGAAGCCGCCTGAAGCAGCCCATCGCGCAGATCCCGCTGGAGACGTCTCCCCCGGTGGGGCTGTCCATCGAAGAGGTGGAGAGACTGAACACCCCCCGCCCCAGGAACCCCAGCATCTGCAGCGCGGACCACGGCCGCTCCTCTTCCGAGGAGGACTGCAGGAGGCCTCTGTCCCGCACCAGGAACCCGGCCGACGGCATTCCCGCGCCCGAGTCCTCCTCTGACAGCGACTCGCACGAGTCCTTCACCTGCTCCGAGATGGAGTACGACCGCGACAAGCCCGTGGCCTACACCTCCAGGATGCCCAAGTTGTCGCAGGTGAACGAGTCGGACGCGGACGACGAGGACAACTACGGCTCGAGGCTGAAGCCGCGGCGGTACCCGGGGCGGCGCGGCGAGGGCGGGCCCGTGGGCGCACAGGCGGCGGGCGCCGCGCCCGGGGACAGCTCCCTGCCCGGCAAGCTGGGCCAGCCCGCGGCAAGCTTCAACTGGGACAGCCTCTTGAACTGGGGCCCGGGCTTTGGGCATTACGTGGATGTTTTCAAAGATTTGGCATCGCTTCCTGAAAAAACAGCAGCAGCAGCAGCAGTGAGTGAGGAGAGCAAGGGTGGTACGGCCAAGGCTGTTTCCAAGGAGGGGGAAGCAGAACAGTATGTATAGGCTTTGTCCCCTGGTACTGCCACAGTGCAAAGCCACGGGGACTGCTCAAACCGTTATATGGTTGTAGAAAAGCCAAGGTCAGCATCTGATCCCCAGGCCAGTCTGGTTGGAGGAGACTTTAAAAATAATAACCATTATGCTGCTGAAAGAGAGACTTGAGACATTTTTAATTTAATTATGCTTGGATGAATTTATTTCTCCTGCATGCATTGTATTTGCAAACCAGATATTCGGCATGCAGCCTTTGGAAAGGGTTTTCCTATTTACCATTGTTTGGTTCGTGGTTCTTAAATTAATAATGCTTTGTTCTGAAAATGAACTAATTTTTTGTTTCAATTGTGAAGGATGTGCATATTGTCTCCAGCTACTAACATGTTCTACGATGCAAGAGTACTGAGGATTCCATTTTCCTTAAGAAGTGCATGGAAGTAAGATGGTGAATGAAGGAACTACAGTAGTGAGGTGTCTCAGAAAATGTAGTTACCATATCCTGCAGTTGCTCACATGTGACTTTATGGAATAAATCAGCTTGAATAATTGCTGGCAACAGTGCTTGCTGTAAGTCTTATTCCATACAAGAGGTGCTAGAAGGAGCTCAAGCCAGTCAGCACTTTAGGAGTTTGGGTTTTTTTTCTCCTTCTTAGTTTGTTTATTTTTTCATTTCAGGTTTCTTTCTCTTTTTTTTTTTTTTTGTTTTTTTTTTTTGTTTTGTTTTGTTTTGTTTGTTTGCTACTGTTTGGTTTTTTTTTTTTTTGGACAAAGTTGTGTGAGAGCTTCTGAATCTCTATGAAATTTTTTTTATTGGGGATGCTTACTTAATCCTGGTCCCTTCCTGCCCCTTCTCATTGATTCCTGATGGTCATTGTCAGCCCAGGCCCCTGGCTCACAGCAGCAAGGGACAAACCTGTCCATTCCCACATCTCTGCTGCAGCCTGTGCTTCTCCCCTGATCCCATTTTCCCACCTGTACCATGGAAAGGCAGGAAGAACACTCAGTTCCCTAATTAGTGAACTCTTCTGAAGTGCTTCGACATTATAAAGCACTATAATAAGTATTATCATAATTATCGTTAAAGCACTGCCTAGCCTCTGTGACCTTGGAGCGGCATTTTCTGCATTCTATGATTTTCTACAGTGGAAACTTTGAAGAATTATTTATTGTATAGAAAATTACTGCACTCTAGCATTTTGGAGCAGATATGAGGGAAAACTACTTGTAGATTCATTAATGTAGCTTACCAATTGCCCCCAGTTCCCTAAAGTTGTAGGTGAAATAGAATCTCACAAAGTCCTTACATCTTCATGCAGATCTGATGAACCTGTTGTACTGTGTAAAAACTTCAATTTTTTTTTTTTTTACCTAAGCTGTGTTTTTTATATCAATATTTTCCTATGCTGAATAGTTTTCTTACTTTCAGGGAAGGTAAGAAAAATACTTTTTTTACATTTGTTACTTATGTAACATCCATATTTTTCACATTTTGATAAAATTGTAACATACTGTATGCTTTCTACCTGTAAATGCCAATAATAGAATTAAAATATTTATTTAAAATCTTTAGTGTGTGTTATTGGAAACCTTTTGTCTTTTCTCTCTAATCTCCACTCCTTGATCTTCACTTTTGGGGTTTAAGTTATAAGGTTTTTAAGCTATATAAACTTCTTAATCAGAAAACAGGCTTTAAGAAGCAAGTACATATCTCAGAAAGAGGGAGAAGGGTATTATGAGGTTGTTGAGCATAAGATAATGTCAAAAAGTACCAAATCTGCTTTCATATTTCTAATAAAACAATAAAACCTGTATTTTAGTCCGCAGTGGTTTCACATTTGTTAACCATGATTTCCACCTCTGCTCCAAGCTGGAGCTTTCCAATGCACAGACAGTGGGGAGTGTGAGAACCAGGTCTTTCTGTCATAAAGCAGCAGCTGAACAATAAATAACTGCATTCTTTTGTACTTACAAAGGGATAAATCAGACTTGGACAACTTCTTGGAGAATGCAGAGAGTGAAAAAGTTTAGGCTGCAGGCAAGAGGTGAGTTCTGAGGTTACACTGAATTTGTGGTAAGTGTAAAGAACTTAGAAAAAGGACAACAATTCAAGGGGGGGTTACGTATATCGTGTTTGGTTTAGAGTTTATTTTGTCTCAAAACTGGCAATTAGGATCCAGCTCTTTTTGGCTAAAAGTGCTCCCAACTTCATCATGCCCCACAAAAGTGAGAAGATAATGGGCCAAAGTAGCCCATATTGGCATGTAAGTAGTTTCATCTGAAATAACATGAGTTCCAGAAGTGATTTCAGAGTTTGAGGAGCTGCTGTAATTAAACATCTGTTAAAAAGCTGTATGTTTAGTTTGAATATTATCCTTTAATACAAATTGTACCACATCCAAGCAGCGATTTTAATAACACATGAAAACTTTAGCAAATGAAAGCTTTTAAATGTAACACCAAACATATTGAGGGCTGTGTTATGCCTGTTAAGCATTCTGAATTTATCAAAAAGTTTTGCTAAAGGGGAATAATATGCAGTGTGGACTTACACAAAGTACATGTCATAGCTTTAGCACAGTTTACAATTTACCCAGGGGGGTAGTGTGTTCCTCTAAATTTTGACACTTTATGGCAGACAAATGTATATTTTACTGGTTTCCTTGTTTCCCTGTTTCTGAAAGGCGTAGAGATGTTTTTGACACTTATACATACGATCCATTCCTGCCCTTTTTTTATAATTCTTTCATGATGAGGATCAGCAAAGGGTTCCAAGTGAATCATGTGGAGCAATCATCCAAAGTTACCGGTTGTGAGGGAGTGAGCTGCATAATTCCCCTGGTTCATCATCACAACTACATGGTCCTGTTTCAGGATCTGGGACGTATTATAAGTCATAAATATGTGGAAAGAAAAACAGTCTGCACTGCTCACTGCGGTGCACAGGAGCCTCCAAACACATCTCATGTCAGCAATTTGTCTCTGACCTGTCTTTCTGCTGGTACAGTGCTTGAATTGTCTTTGCCAGCTCAGGTGGAGATGTTTTCTCCTGATGATGTTACTGATTAGATGAAAATGGACAGAGAAATGGCAGATTTACTTGGCATTCTCTTCTTTAGAGATGGAAAATATGAAAAGGAAAATACAAAAATGCTGTCATTTGTGGTAGAGGAATAAATGAATAAAAGGAGGGAAATCTAGATTTATCCGATCCAAGACTTCTCAGTATTTTTCATCAACATTTTGTAACGTTAAAACCACAAAATTAAAAGTAAAGCGCATTACATTGAAAAGTAATGTAAAGTCCCACGTTTTGGTGAAAACATCCCCCATCAGGATCAGACTGTGAGTCTGTGCTGCAGACCACAACCTGTGTCAGGGAGTATCGGTTAGCAGTGCAAAATCCAGCTGGAGCCACATGACTCCAGTCTGGGAATGATAGGGCTGGGGGCTGGAAGGGGGTGCAGGGTCTCACTGATGGCTTCAAAAGCAGCAGATGGAGCCAGCCAAAGGACTCGAGCTGCCAGTGTTCATAAGGTAAATTGGATGTGGTGGAAGATCTTTGATAGTCCTCTGTTTTTATTGTAGACTGTGATTTTGAAGCACAAAATTCAAGTAATAGTATTATTCTCCTTCAGTGTTAGGATGTGTAAATGGTATTTTCTTAACTGGATTCTAGAAGAGACTTGGAATTATGGATCCTTTGAAATTGGGAAGGACAATTAGGAGAAGATGATGAAGGGAATAAGTTGCTATTTTATTAAGTAGGATTGAGAAAGTGAAAATGTTGATCTCTCTGCTTTGTCATGCTAGCATTGTACTGTTCACCATTTTAGCCTTTTCTATGACCATCTATGTATTAATTCCACCATTCTTTCCTCTGCTCTGTGAAATTAGTGCTTTGTTCATCCCAACATGCTCACTTTGGTTTTCTATAAAGAACACTTAATGAGGATGACTGACAGCTTGTGTTTAGGTTGTCAACACCACAACGTGTCTTTTTTTTAAATTTAGATATTTACACTCAACTGGCCTTTTCTGCGTTTTGCATGAACCTCACTTTCCATTCAGCCATCTTACAGGAGCTTTTTCCAGCAGTAAAATATGGTTGGATTCTTGGTAATTTTTACAGCCTTTTTCCAGTGGCTTTGAGGTTTCATCTTCCTGTATTGAAAGGATCAGCAGTGAGTAAAGTCTTCCTAAGTTGCACTTTGAGTTTAAAAGGACCTTTATCTCTGGGCTTCACAAAGTCAATCCTCAAGAGACTTGCTCTTCAATTTTAGGGCCACATTTATTTAATTTGTGAGAAAGTACAAAAAAAAAAAAAAAAGTAATTCCCTACATGAACGTCCCATATCTGTTCTTCTAAGTTGTCATTTACTGGTGGGGAAGAAGAAGACACTCCACCTGTCAGGAAGTATTTATTTTCAGAAATGTTAAACAGTTTTTTCTCAAATTTCAGAAGTGGCTTCCACCAAGCCCATTTTCTGATGAGAACCCTCAAAGGGAAGACCCTGCATGGTGCCCTGAGGCACTCAAATGTCAGCATTCCATTGGCATCCGTAGAGATCACACTGTGCCTGCTTGGAGCTTGGCTTGGTCCTGATCTTCCACAATCTTCCCGCTCCTCTGCTTCCAGTGTGGGGCAAAATGAGGGTCCAGCAAGGTGTTGCTTTCCTTCCTCTTTTACAACTGGCAAGCTCACCTGGCAAGAGATGGAGAATGAGTGGAAATGGCTCCTCCTAACCTCTGGGAAACAGCAATGCTAAACTACATTCAGTTAACTTTAATTTGCATCCTCTCAGAGGGAGCATTTTTAGGGAGTCACCAAACAGTGTCAGCTGGAAGAAAATAAAGACGAAAGCCCCACATCAGAAAGTTTGTGTCAGTCGGGACAAATCAACAGCAAAGGGGTTAAAAACATTTCAGTCTTTCTAGAGTGAGCCCAAGGATGATGTGTGGTGTCTTGGATAACCCACAGGTGGTGTCATCAGCTGGGAGAACAAAGGGGAGCAGACATTGGAACGGGCTCTCGAGGGAAGTGGTGGAATCATCATCCCTGGAAACGTTCGAGCAAGGATGTGTCACTTGGGGAGGTGGTTTAGTGGTGGATTTGGCAGTGCTGGATTCATGGCTGGACTCTGATTTTGGAAGTCTTTTCCAGGCTGAGTGATTCTGGGACACGTATGTGTGGCAAGGCACACACCCGTGGGCATTCATTCCACATGGCAATTAATGCCCTGCAAATTCCCTGCCAGGACTCCAGGTCTGGAAAACAGATCAGCAACCTGCCTGCCCCCAGGCATAGAAACCCAAGCCACTGTTCCCTGTGATTCTGTGCATTCCCCTTAATCCCTGTGACTCTTTGTGCAGCCGGTCAGACAAGGAGCAGGGAAAATAAACAGGTCCCTGTCTTCCCATTTGTTGGTTTATTTCCCCTGAGCCTTTTAAAAGCCCGAGTGTGATTTAGTAATGTTTCTCCTTGCATATCTTGTGCAATTAGCTAGAACAGCAAATTGGGGAATAAGAGATAAACATTAATATAGAG